TTGTTAGTCACCGAGGGATTCCTGACTGATTCCATTTGTTAGTCACTGAGGGATTCATGACTGATTCCACTTGTTAGTCACTGAGGGATTCCTGACTGATTCCACTTGTTTGGCAATGAGGGATTCCTGACTGATTCCACTTGTTTGTCAATGAGGGATTCCTGACTGATTCCACTTGTTAGTCACTGAGGGATTCCTGATTGATTAGATCTTTTGACACCTTTCACTTTCTAATCTGGTCAGACCTTTTACTCATTTTGTTCTCTGTAATACGTAACATGACTGACACTCTCAGACTTCTTTCTGTGGGACTCCTCGTTTATCCAATCTCCCTTTTGTCTAATCCTTTAACTCCAGTAAGATATCCTACTCTACATTATAGGGTGATTTCTCTCTCGAATAATCCATTGGTATGTTCGTACCAGTCTAACTAATCATGCAATTAATTCTTCGAAACATCACACTCGTTTCATCCAAATTCAGACTCCTCGCTTTTGCGAAATGTGTTACTCATTTAACCTAGCAAGACTCCTTATTTAAAAATATTAACAAATAATAAAGTAAAAGAAGCTTCGGTGAAAGTCTCTGTGAAGCGACTGCCCTCGAAGTAGGCCACTAGGGAAGCGGGTGTTATGCGGCGCAATAGGCACGTGTTCGGCAACCCTTCTGTAACCACCAGAGCATGCAGCTTACAAGGCCAAAGCTAAGGCCATTTCGAAACGGGAAGATGCAGTCACTTTTTTCTTGGGCGCTGCCCGTACAACAGGTCGGCCTTCTATGCGTAGGCATCCTGTCCGACGTGTTTATGACTACGTAAATAACGAGGCGAGGTCACAAGCCCGTAACGGTGCACCACGTGGTCTCATTTCCAGAGGGGTGAACGGCTTACTGACCTAATTATTGAAGCCGGTTCCCCTTCCTGGTGCCGTTGTTCGTTTTCCTCTCTCTCTGTCCTTTTCGTAGGCCATTGAACCATCTATGGCCTCGGCTAAAACTGGTCTGTTTATATTTCACCCTAAACATGGGTAAAAAATATATATTCTTCGGTATCATAGGTAGGAACATGTAAACAATCTCCAGTTGATAATGGTTGGAGACGGCTTGAATGGGTAATGAAGAAAAACTTTAATATACGTTTAACACAACAGCAAATGTACAACGTTTCGACAAGGTTTGGTCATCATCATC